TCTTTCCATGTGAATTCTAAAGCCTTACGAATCTCACCACAACTGGCTTACTGAATTAATGTTATTTTTAAAAAAAGATACAACTTTTCTTTGCTCTGGACACTAAAGACTAGTAGAAAAGACCTGGAAAAAAAGCTATAAAAATAGTAAAAAAGTTACATACGTAGCTAGCAAAAGCTGCAACTTGGGTCCTTTCCCTGGAAGAGCACACCAGGCAATGCCATTCACAAGAGCTGGATGAGACAGTGAATGCAGACGTCTCCAACATCCTCCCAGATGTCCCCAGAGTTTCACTGTTTCTTCTTTGGAACATGTTAGGAGAATCTTACCAGCTGGATCCCACTTCATACTAACAATCATATCCTGTTGGATTTAAAGAAATTAAAGAACAGAGAAAATTTAACTCAGAGCTAATGCAGTATTTAACTATTAATAACAAAGAACATTTTATTCTCAAATAAATCATTTCACAGATAGTGAGTTGCAACTGTGAAATCATAACAATACTTTTCAGAACTATCAAACTAAAATAAAATCCTAGGTTCCTGAAAGAAACTAAAGGGAAAGTACAGAAAAAATAATCTCTCTTTTCATTGCACATCTTTCTTGATTTTTTTTTTTCCCCCCAAAGCAGACATTTTTTCCTTCTTTTTTATATTATGAAATTGTAGTATGAATTACCTTAATGGTAAGATGCCTTTACTACATCGACACTTGAGGAATTCTCCTCTTAGCCTAACAAATAATTTAGGGACTGTTAATGACTTATTATTACATACTAGCCAAGTGAAGGATCTAAACCTTTGTGGCTGCATATTTAGAAAAACATCTTTTGCTTTGCACAGGAACTTAAACTTTACAAAAACGCAACGTAACGAAAATTAAAATTTATTATGAGCACTTTTACAAAATAAAAGAACTACAGTCTTTTAAATCCGGACATGCACAGCTATGTCCTTAATACACTTCTGTCACTATATGCACATACACTTCTCAGTCTCTAGTAGCAAAAAAGACTATAAAATTGATTTTTACTTTTTTTTTCTTTAAATTCATTAGACTGTTCAGATGTGTATCAGAAATAGGTGTGTGTTCTTAAAATAATCTGCATTTGACTTTATAAATAGCTTTCAAATACAGAAAACAGCTTAAACAGATCTTTACTTACAAAAATTATACATTAATTTTAAAAAATCTAACTCTACCTTATGTGCATCAACTAGAATGATTCCTCCTTTTTCAAGTGGTTCCTTTGTTCCTATTAGCAATTTTCCATCTGAATAGCCAACTGCAAATGGTCTGTCTTCACTGAACCAGGCAAGGCATGTGACAGACACTACACAAACAGACAACAAAAAAACTAAATTAACTAAATTGAACTTCACTCCTGACAAAGAGGTTTTTGCAGTGCAATTGTCTAAAATATAAAATGCATAACAACTTTCCCTGACCACAAAGGTTACTTAGCATACTTTTGGACTGAAAATTTTATTGCATTTGTATGGTTAAGTTAAAACCAAGTGCCACTGTGACAACAGCTGTTGAGATTATTTCGCGACGGCTCTTTCACTCTTCTTCTTTTTACTAAAATAATTGAATTTATATTCTTGACACAGTGAAAAGAACTCTGCTAAAGGAAAAGAAAAAAAGTAGACTGAATCCTATACATGTATCTGAGACAGGAATTCTTCTAAGAAAAGCACTGAAAACGACTGGAGCCTTTTTAGGATGCAGATATTGCCTTACTTGACTCTGCCAAAAAAATCTGCAAATTTCCTGAAGAAGCAATATGCAAAACCAACAATGCTACCAAAGATGTACTACTTGATATCCCCTGAGACTGGAACTAAAAAGGAAAAACAGCAGTAATTCAGTAATTGAAATGACACTGATGACATGCTATCTGTAGACAGAGCAGACACTGCAGGGAATCTATATTGATTCTATACAATGGCAAGGAATGTCAGGACTTGACTAGGTTGCTACAAACTGTTTGCCTCTGTTGTAGGGGAACTGGTGCAGATGGAGATCCCACAGACTCTTCTCCTCTCATGAATGCAAGGGAATGATTGCAGGAAAAGTACCAGAAGTCATATCCCATGAACAACAATTAAAAAATTGAGATTATATACTTGCTTAATTTAAAAAAATAACAAGGAGGGGGCAGGATTAATAATTTTAATTTCTACTTAAATGACAGATACAGTCACCTACCATCCTTTCTGTAGCAGTGTTCCAGTTCTAGCCGGTGTATGGCTGAAATATCTACAACTTCAACAAGACCAAGAGATCCATCCATACGACCAATTAATAATAATTCTGGAGCATCTGCTGTCCATGATGCAGTTGGCCCTTCTTCTGGCCAAGCTAGAGCAGATACCCAGTGAGGCTGAAGATCTAATAGTCCTTTTCCTCCTAGAAGCCCAAAATGTCTTTTAAAACTACTTAATCTTCATAAAGAAAAGAAAATAAGACAAATACTTCCCATGTAAAAATATCAAGAGATCCTATTTAGAGCTAGGACATATGACAACTTCCTGTAAATTACAAGCCTACGAATCATTGATGCACTAATCTTCGCAGACACAAAATCTAGGTAACAAATCTCAATTATCAGTCAAGTTACATTGCTATGCTAAGGTAGGAAGCTAAATTCTTCAGCACTCAGTAAATTTATACTACTCTGGACTGTCCGTTAACATGAGCAGTGTAACTGGGGATTTTCATAAGCACAAAAACAACCTAATGAAGTTTCAGAGATTATGATTAAGAGTTTTAAAGGTATTATGCTGGTTTAGTTAATTGCAGCACAAATGACAGTAGAAATGTTAAGAGAATCCACTTAAAGATGCTTGCAAACTGAACCAAGGAATTGGGAAGTGCCTATCCCGGGATCAGGTTTGGTCCTCTCATCACAATGCAAACCCATAAATTTGTCCAATTTATTTTACAGTATTTCTTCCCCAGGTGTCATTCCCCCTTATAAAATATGACATCATGGTCTTTCAAACATTAGAAACTCTCTTGAAGTTATTAATGGCCAATTTATTTACATTTCTTCTTGTGTCAACACTATCCATTTGTTTACACAGCTACTTTTTCTCCCTGCGCTTCTCCTAGAGTTTACCTTCCTAATATATTTATTTATATGCTTCTTTCTCCAAGACTCTTCTGTTCAAATAGACCAAGCTCACTCATTCTACTCTCATTAGAAGACATTCCATCTAAATGATCACTCCAGCAATCCTTCCTTCCATCTGTTTCAGTCAATTTCCACATTCTCCCTGTTGCATATAGAAAGGTGATTCTTGCAGACTATAGGAAGAGTATTTACAGACAAAAATCGCTAAGAGTGATCAAGCCTCACATCTAAACGCTTCTGCTTCAACAAGAACTCATATGCTGCTCAGTTTTCTAATGAACTGTAAATCACATTGATTTGTGGTTAATGTCTTCCTCTAAGTAAACAGGTTTACAAGATATTATGGAAGATAACAGGCATTTAAGCTGAAGAGCACACACAGTTAAATACCTGAGTAAACAAATACTCAATTACTTAGCAGGTTCCCTAGAAATACGTTGTATCATAAAGTGTAACAGGTAGCTAAGAGCATACCATTGACTTGCCATATGTTCACCATCTTCTCGGTAGCTCCAGCCAGATACTTGCCACTGATGCTCCAACAGACAAGAGACAAACTAAGGTCACTGGGTGATCCCAGACTTTCTTCAGAATCACCTTCTCTACAATAGAATAAAATAATGGAATTTTAAAAAGGCATTTCCTTTAAGCAGACAGGAAAGCATAGAATTAATGAAGTAAGTTAAAATCTGGAGTCTTCCTGCCATCACTGCAGATTCACATAATAAATTTTTCTGCTCATAGTTCTATATTCTATTTAAAACCACTTCCAATTACAGAATGAGGTACCAGTTATTTCCACAGTAAGAAATTTAAAGTTAGGTTTCAATTGGAAAAATAAGCTGAATTACCTTTACCTATTTATATCTTAAATTTAACGTCTTTGGTGAGGGCCAAACTTTCTGGGAAGTCATGGAATGAAACAGAATAGCTTGGACAAAAGAAATGAAAGAGGTACATCTTACTCTCAGTTCTAGCTTATACTCTTCCTCCTGCTACAATGTTGTTGCACTGTTCTAAAATTCTATTTTCAAGTTTGCTTTGGTTAATTTTAACGGGATCACTGGTATTTTTTATTGCCCTTAAGGTCATACACGACAGGCACAGTTTTAATGATTTTTGTAACAGGAAAATGAGGCCTATAATATTGCCAGGATGCATACTGTAGGCTAAATTCTGTATCACCCCTGTATTTTTGAAGATACAGGAGGCATACCTTTTTTCATTATCTTGCCCAATTACAGCTTAATTAAATATCTGACTACTATAAAGAATCAACTTACAGCTTGTTGAGCACACACGTTTGTTGCAATGAATACTGCTTCTTTGTAACATTCCACACTTTTATGGTGCCATCATTTCCACTAGTTGCCAAAAGTCCTTTTTTATTACACCAAACACATGTCATGACCTACAAATACCAAAGTAATCATGGCAAAACTCGAATTTAAATCTAAAGCTTAGGTATGTTTGTTCATAAATATTAAGCAAACATTAACCAATGGGTCTGAGTATTAGCTACATTATTGAAATACACTATAACAATCAAATGATATCTTTTCCTACTTTTACAATATTGTGTACTGTAATTAAGCAGGCTTTATAAGGATGCTACGCTTTGTTCAGATCCATTCCACAGGACAGTGCACAAAGATGTTAACTACTACAACAGAAAAATTAATGCAAATTAAGATCTAGTCTACGAAAAGATTTAGGGTGATTGCGCCAACTTCATGTAGTGTGACAACATTTTCATGTCCCCTTTAATTCAAGTTTTGAAGAAGCTAAGCATTTTTCTGCATCAGAGGTACCCTCAAGCAATAACTTAATCACCAAAAAATTACTCCTTGTGGGAAATCATTTCAGGCAGCATATTTCTAAAATACGAGTATTTTACTTTTTCTGTATTCTACAAAAGAGAGTACTCAAATTCATACAATTTTGGGAGAAATCACGCTTACCCTGTTCTGATGAGCCTCTAATTTTATGAAGGAACATTTCCTTAAGTCTCCCCCCATATCAGCGAGGGTCTGAGGAACAGTTTGATTATCTCTATCATGTGCTGCAAGAGTTCGCACCAGCTGCTGAGCAGCCCACTGCCTATGTTGTGAAGATAACCTTGAAGAGAGGCAGCAAGCTGCTAGTGCATTAGCCAGCTCCAGAGGGCCTACAGCAGAAGGATCATAGGAAGGATGGGCATACAAATGGGCAATTAAACCTGCTTAAACAAAACAATGAGATGATGCCGAGATGAGTACCAAACAGAATTACACAAACGAACACAGCATTAGCTGTAATTTCCGGAAAAAGAGATTAACAAACATCACCCAAGAACGCTGCAATCACGTTAACTATTAGAAAAAAAACACTCTTCTGATACTAAGAGAAAAATCATCCCCTTTAAAATTTAAAAAAACACCCCTTAAGAAGAGAATTACAAACAGTCTTATTCCCACCATATGGAAAATGGTTGTTCACAGAGCTGTCCTGCCTTCTGAACAGGAAAATGCCGTCTCTGACAGAGATAAGCTGCTCTCACTGCTATGTCCTTCCCTTGCTTTAACACAGCAACAGCCTGGTGTCGAGGCACAGCAGTTGCTTTTTGGCTCCCTGACCTCTCACAGCAGAGGCAGCACAACTTTCTGTGTCAGTACTCAGCTGTTACTCCCCTTAATTTCATTAGGTGGCACACCTGAGGCTGAATGGCTTAGCCAGCCAGCTTTGAATACACAGGCATTCGGATTTTTCTTAAGTGGCAGAAGATGCAACTATGTAATAAGATCATATTTCTAAGTAAAATTTGTGTATTAAACTATAAGATTACTTTGATTAAAACACATTTGGTACATTTTTGAGAGTATATTTATTTATACATTATTCTAGTCTCCTTAAATACAAACAAAGAACCAAAGATTTAATAATTAACATTTAAAAGCAAAGCTATACCATACCTTTCTTTTCAATTTCTGCTTTATCATAATTTGGCCTCAGTTTGGCCCCTTTGTCTGCCAACAATGCTACAAGTGCTTGAGTAACCACAAAATTTGGAGATGTGACAAGTTTGTTTTCTTCTGCAATTCCTCTTAAAAAACTTGGCAAAAATTTTCGCTGAATTGGATCATCAACTGTTGTCAAGTTTACACCAGTTGCTGCAGAAATCAAATTCTAAAAATAAATAATTAAAGACAATAAATGACTGGAACAAACAGAAAAATCAATTTTGGAGAACATTTTTAGTTGAACAAATCATGCAGAGTTTTAAAGATTTTCAGGTTTTGTTCAGAAATTCTCAGCTCCCAACAACTTTTATTTTAACAGGCAAAGATTACATACAATATGGAATTTAAGTCTCCTGCACTGGGGAATACCCAGTCTTAATGGAAACAACTATCCAGATCCAAGGATTTAAAAAAAAAAAAAAAAAAAAAAAAAAAAAAAAAAAAGTATCAAGTAACCAAGAATACCAGCAAGAACTAAGGAGCTTATATAAGAACTTTTTATAAAGTTCTTTTATATAAGAACTGTATCCAGTGGTAAGATAAAAAACAATAACACATAACAAAATCCGTTATACCATCCAACACTCCTATTTATCCACAATTATATTTCAAACTCAGAAGAAGAAAACAATTACTCTGATTGCATAGAAGTTTCCTCATATATATGAAATCCCGCTGCATGTCCACAGCTGTAGGTCATCTCTTTCTAAATGCAATGTGCTCCACATAGAGATGACTCAACTAAAAAGCCCAAATCTTTAACAGAAAAAACCCTATCAATACAAAAAACACATCCATTTTTCTCCACTTGAAAAGAGTACTCAGCAAAAAAAAAAAAAGTAAAGTTACTTGATTTTTACCAACAATAAAACACACCCTTGTGTAAAGCCATAAACAAGAACTCTAAGGAGATTCTCAAACAGGCAGTCTCATCACAGTTCACATAAAAATAAAAGCACAAATTATCAGTATGTACAAAATGGATGGCTTCATCCCAGGTATCAGCAGTTTAATATAAATATTTATGTTGAAATAACAGACCTACCTGTGTACATAACTGCACCAGCAGTTTTGCAGCACTAGGAGTATTTGATGCCAAACAGCCTACTGCTGTACTCAGATAGGCAAGACAAGATATAGGCTTGCTTGTTTTGCTGTGTATTCCTCTAGATCGCTCTGTTGAACTTGACACGGTGGATGGACTTGTGGAGAGGCCTGCTCTCCCTGCTGCAGCGAGGCACATTAAACGAACCAAAGTTCTGATATCTGTTAATCCCAAGGATTCAAGACCAGCTGCCAGGCTACAACTGGAACCACTGTCGAAAAAGAATATAAATGCTCTTGGTTTTGTTAGTACATTTTAAAAGAAAGTTATGTTTGGATAAAACTATTCCCACACTATTAGTGAACACTGCCTGTTTGATTACATGGACCTTGCTACCAAGCAGGGGAAAGAGGAAGAAAGAGAAATGACGCTGCAGCCCCTCCACTCCTTTTCTTTTAAGTTCTAATATTTGCCTTGAACAAAACCCCACTGACAAACACAGCAACTTTATGTTCTGAATGGCTGATACTACTGCAGTCTATTTTCCATGTGAGACGCAGAAGTTTCTCTCATAAAGTTTGAAGATAAGGTTCAAAAGAACAAAATCAACATAACTTTTTCTCTTAATAGTATGATGTAAGTACATAAAATGAGAATCACTTTCCCAAATAGCTTAAAACTTGATCCCTATCAAACATAACTTGATAACTGGTTCCAAATGGAAAGGTGGAAGTGTTGCCAAGGACGCCACAAACCTGACAGACAAAAGTGAGAGCGCTCTCATAACCATAGTTCTTGCAAGGAGGACTTGGGCGGCAGCCGTTACTCTTCTTAGAGCCATAACACGGTCATGTGGATTTACTAGGGCAGCTGCTTGTTCTCCTAAGGTTATCCTGCCAGAAGAACTTTTTTCTATAGAGCCATGACAGCCTTGGAAATAATGATGATCTGTGTTAGTGTTTAAAGAAAACTGAAACATTATCACATAGTAACAAGCACAGAAGCAAATTTGGCCCAAGTTTTCAAATCACTCATTCATTTTTCAACATTTCATTCATACAGAACTTTAGTGATAGTGACTGACAGGAAAATACACTCCCAAAATACACTCCATAATTTAATTATTCCTTATTTTCAAAGATAGATGAGCACAACTTGACAATACTTAGTTAATGTTAATCCCATTCTTTCCCTTTCCATTAAAGGGGCCTACAAACTTACACACTGATCTTGCATTTCAATAGGCTGGTCAGTAAGTCCCAACTTAAATCCATGAATACATCTTTGAGTTCTGCAAAACATGCTACTGCACCCACTGCAGGACGACGGTCACAGATTTATTAGTAACTCAAAGCTTCAAGCCTTCTTCCAAAATAAATGCCTCACACTCCTCTAACTCCCCTTTAATAAGACACTTTAGAACCCTGTCTTCACTTCCTCATGGTGAGAGGCGGGAAAGACTGTCAAAATATTTCTGCCCCGCCACTATAAAATCACACCAAAGGGGAGGTATTTGTTCTTTGAATGAAACTAATTTCAAATTTACCTATTTGCATCAATGTTTCTTCCATACTGTTGGTGGCTGTCACCATTGCAACTGAAGCACCCAGAGGGTCACTGTCAGGGAACTGTACAGGTTCAGGTACAATACGTCGATCATTTAACCCAAGAGGTCCAGCCAGTAATTCAAACTCCTCTTCTCCTGTCAGCTTTTCATCTTCGTCTACATCTAACATATCCCAGTCTTCTAGAATTGGAGAAATATAACTAGACTTGGTTACAAAAGCTAAAATATTAAATAATTTAAATTAACTAAAAAACCAATACAGGGTATAAAATGTGGATTGTAACCTGCAACATCTCAGTTTTAAAAACTCATCTTCTGATGTCAACATAGACACAACACAGTAAATGAGAAAAACAAAATCCCACGCTCGCCCCTCTCTGTTGAATGTGATCTTTATTTGTACTGCAGATCAGTTTCACAGAAGATTCTCTGAAACATCACACTAGCTGTTTTTTTAAAACACAGAAATGAGAGGTCACCACATCTAGCTCAAGACGACTCCTAAACCTGGAATATAGTGAAAAGCACAGACACAGAGTTGTGCTGTTGTGCTATAAATCATGATAACAGGTGCATTTTTCAAAGGACTCAATAGGAAAGATAGATAATAGAAATTTCTGGTCTTCATATTTATCAAAAAAGTATGCATGAGTTCTTAGGTCATAATTGTACACCCAGGCTTTTGCTTTTCCTTCCTGGGGTTGGGGGGAATAAAAAGTAGTATAATTGCAATTCAGTTATGCACTCCATTCACTTCCCAACCACTTACACTGAAGTCAATTTACATTTACTGATCCCTCCTGCTCTTACTTCCCATACAGTAGAATCTTAACACTTTCTATCTATTGTAAGACAGACTTGCTGGTAAGTTCTGGAGCACTCATTTACTCTTAACTAGACAAATGTGGTAAGTCATACAAGTGCAGAAAGGCCCAGAATCAAAGAATCATCTGGGAAAGGTTTTCTACAACCACTAGATATAATCTGTTTAAAGTGAAAGTCACCCTCAGGACACTCTCAGATAGTACAAAGGTAGAAAAAGTAAGAAGCCTAATGGCAGACTTTCAAGACTCTAACTTATGACAATTAACTTCTTCAACAAAGGCAGCTGAAGAAATGTATTTGAACATAAGGCTCTGTATGTCTGGATATATTCTGGATATAATATCCACCCACAACACCTTATCACCCAAAGTTAAGTATTTGCCATTTCAGCTACTTAGATGGAAGACAACGGAAAAAAATGACACTGATTTTTTTTCCCATTTGAACTAAAAGAAAATACTACACCTAGTCTGAAGATTATTTTAAAGTATATCTTCAGGTAGTTTCATAACAGGTTTATTTGCATGGAAGTGCCTTTATGGAAAAATAAAACACTGTGCAAGTGTGAAGTACTCAGTATCTTCAGCAACTTAAAAAACATACCTTCATAGACGCTGTCTTGTTTACCTATTAAATCAGGAGCCTGGCCTTTGTACCTGTATGAAAAAAATAACAAAGAAAATAACTGAATGGATCTAATAACTTACATAAAAGCATAATACCTTTAAACTTGGTTTACTACTAAGTTACTTTACTGTTAGGTCAATGTATATATATATATATGATTTCTGGAAATAATTAGTAACAGAGAGATAAATAAAAGGGCTTCTAAAAGTGTCTGTGGAGGGGAGAAGCATTTTGCAGCACTAATGTGAGAAAGGCCCATTAAAAATACTGGAATTGTCAGACAAAACTGAAAAAGGAAGTTTTCAAAAGTCAACAAGACCAGGCAACATCCCAAGAAATAATTCCTTGTTTTTCACTTAATAAATAGAAATATCAAGACAATCTTTTTTCTAAATATGCATTTGCTGACTACAGAAAACTATTTTAAGCCTCAGTTAAAATAAAGACAAATTCTGCTAGAAATCTTAATTTAATGTTTCCTTTCTTAACACAGACTATTCCACCATCTTGTACTTCTGTACCTTTCAGAAGTTGATGCTTTAGATTTACTCTTCAGGGCTAAGTATTTCTCTCTGCAGATGCCACACAGTAAGTAGTAAGGATTTCCACTTCCACATTCACCACCAAACCATCCATCTACATAAGAACCATTGCTACGATAGCCCTGGCGATTTGCACTACGACCACAGCCTGGGTGGTTTCTTTTCATGTGTTGATTGAAGCTGACAACACTGGATTCACACAGTTCACAAACCACTACTTCTTCTCTGTCTTCAGATTCACAAACGTGCTGCATAGTAAGATTTTCACATGTTATTTGTACAGAATAAATATCTTCATATTAGATATAAAATACACCAATATTCTTAGGTGGATGTTCCTGCCCATTTCTGTTACACACAGTGATTTATACAGTTAACTTGCACAAAAGCAAAGCAGAAATAATAGACAGTTTATGACATAATGAAGAGCAGACCATCTCAGAACAGGAAAGACATTCAGAGGTAAACTTTCAGAGGATGAGAGTTTCCTATTTCAGTTCAGATCTGACTCAAAATTCTTGACAGTATAACTTTTCACTTATAACTCTGCTAGTTCACATTCAATGCTGTCTTTAAGTTATCTGGTTCTTCTCAGAACTTGACTAGATGCAACAGAGAAAAAAGAATCCTAGAATCCTTTTTTTTTTTATTCCCCTTCCAGTTGGACATTACATTTACAGAGCAACAATAATTATCATTTGTGTCAATAAATTCTGAGGTTTTATGGGAATATTTTTCATATAAAGTTCATTTTTCTATAAATACATTTCTGCCCCGAGTCAGTAATTTCATTGTGATGTTCCAGTGAAACATGCTCTCTGAAAAATTCAATACACATACTGAAACTTGCTTCCATATCAGATTCAGGTAACATCATAATTAGGAGACTAAAGTGTCTTGGGGGTTGCTTGTCTAATTTGACATGGATAATCCGAAGATAAACAAGCTGCTGTTATTATATTTCTTTTCTACCTCAAACGTATTTTTAGTGGGCTATACAGCAATTTAGTGAGGACTGTCACCATATCCTTCCCAGAGAAAGAAATATATGACATGACTTACCTAAAAAAAATGGATTTAAGTGCAAATTATGCTGCTACAGATCAGATGACAACTATGATTTTTTTTTGTTTGTTTTGGTTTTTTTTTTTTTTTTTTAAGATAGAACAAGCATTTACAACTGTGTTTGTTATCCCACACAGCTAAGCAATCTGGAACACCTACTTGATTTCTAAGCCATATCATCAAAACAACAACTATACTAGTTCTGTTCTCATCTTCCACGGGAGGGAGAAGAAAAACTGTACATGTAGAAGTGCAGAGCAAGAAACACAAGAAAGCACTCTTCTTAATTTAAAAGTGAAGCTACAGAATACAAGAATATTTTAAACATTGCTGGCATTCAGTAAGATATTTTCAAACAGGCTATAAGCATAAGCATGTTACTTTAAATTTAAAAATATGAACATGCAAAAAGCAGTAAGTTAAAGCAGCCCCCGCTGCAGTCACACACACCCAGGTAGGCCAATCCAATACCTCTGGGATCCACATTCCCAGAATATCATTATCACTAGTCAGGTCTTGCCCAAACATAGCTTCCATTGCTTCATCATCAAGGTCAATTTCCAACTCCTCATCCAAGTTGAAGTCATAAAGCGCCCCTGGATCTTGCTGCAAAGATATCCCTTCTCTTCGACTCTGATTCCTGTGGGCCTGTACAGAGCGGTATAATCCCGCTCAAGTGGGGAAAAAAAAAAAAAAAAAAAGGAAAAAAAAAGGAAAGTAGTACTTTCATTTGCATGCAATAAAGATGTCTGTACTTTCAACTTATTTTTTTCTTTTTTTTTTTTTTAAACTCTGATGGTAAACATAATCTACTTATTACCCCCTAAAACACTTAAGTTTAATATACACTGATATACATATGTGCAGGAGAGATTTTTAACTTTCATGCTAAGTACCAATCCCCTTCCTCTTCATTTACTGAATAAGCAGGGACCTTGGAAGACTTGCAGTATACTTACCAGCACGTGCTAGCAATGTGCGGGCAGCTAAATCAAATTTGTGTCTCCTCGTTACAGCTGACCGACTTCTAGAAGGAGGCCCACTTACAGAAGCTGCATTATCCACATGATCCATATGATCAGGGCTAAAAGAATTTGTAATTTACAGGTAAATCAAACCAAGTTTGAAAGAGCCACATACAGTAAGAAAGGAAAAATACTAAGATAATTTTTATTGGTATTTTTTTCTTTCAAAGAAGGAAAAAAAGATAATTTGGAATTCAAGAATTTTCAGTCCCACTGCAGCGCATATTTACTGTCTTTTTGACTGTGAGGTTTACCTCAAACAAATTAGATGCAGCAATGTCAACACCTATTTGATGCTTCCATAGCGCCTAAGCATTGCAAAAGTTTTGGGAGAACACGCATTTTACACTGTCAATGTTAACTACAGCTCAAACTAGGTTTCTTCTCCTTTTTAAGAGAAATAAAATCGACATTTCTGTTGTTGCTTCCTCAGCCCTTTTCCCTTTTGCCCACAATCTTTTGCAAAACACGAATTTAAGTTACTTAGTAAAACTTTCTGCTTAGTTTATTTCTCCCATGTGAAATCTGTCAGTTCTCTGTGAAATTATGGTTTACCTGGAAAAAAGTAACTAAGGAAACTTAAAAAAGCGTATCTTGGTAGCATCAAGGAATCTAAACAAAACTGTTCTCAAAATACATCTTGTCATTTCATTGTCCCTATTAACAAAAAAGCTGGTATGATTCCTAATAGGTGTCACTTAAAAATATAACCTCTACTTTTAAAATGAAAAACAAAACAAAAGAAAAAGCACCACCTTTCTTCCTTGTTTAATAGATAGTTTAGATCTAAGGTTGTGAATGTGACTGGGAATGTAAACATCAATTCAGTTTCATCCTCTCTGGGCAAACAAAGAATTGATTTAAAAAGAAAGTGTAGAAAAACATCTGTTCATGAATATACTGAAGGAAAAAAATACTCCAATTTTTGATTTCTAGTTCTTTTAGGTAAAATGTAAGCTATATGCCCTCATTTTTTTTGTTCCTCCTTCCTCTTTTTCTTTGAAGGAAGGATGTTTAGTTACATTCTTCCCCAGTTCTGTGAACAAACAGTACTAGAAAATGAACGCACCATGCACACTTAATTGCATCTTTGCTTTTACTCACCTTGTAACAAAATTCAAAGTGGCATTAAAAACTAACATTCTGTGAGCAACAATGAACTTCTGAGATTTTCAGCTTCAGCAACAGATTACAAGCAAGTAGAAGAAAATGACATTTTACCTTTCGCTAAAGCCTTCCTCCATTTCAGTGGCATCAGCAGAAGGGATATCACCTGGTGACTGCAAATAACAATGATCACCAGATTTTCCACCACTTCCAGAGACTATTGTCCCATCTCGTGAATCTGCAGTCCCTTCTGACTGGGGCTCGTCATCATCTTCATTTCCAGGGTGCTCAATCATCCACATGGCCAGCACTGTGATATTCTGTGCATCTGCTTCTCCTCTGGCACCTGAGAGCAAGAAAAATCACACATCATAACTGTATTATATCATTGACAGTGAAAAAGAAAATCTTTTTTTTTTCCATAAATGGTTATAGAACTTAAAAATTAAGTATTCTATTGGAAAAAAGTGTTTCATATTTATGCAATTTTTCAGTTCAAACTGATACTGCAGTTATAGGTTACCTGTAGCTTCCATAGCTTTTGCAATTTGCCTGAGCGAGAACCCCATTTCTAACAATGGAACAGCAATGGCAGGAGGAGGAGGGGATGTTGAAAGTCGGCTGCTTGGATCAGACAAAGCTTAAAAGACAGAAAATATTAATTGTGAACTGTGCGAATCTTTCTTTAGACCTTACTTTGACACATTAGCTCCAAATAAGGCAATAACTGTCCTTAACAACTTTCTTCTCTACTGCTTTCCACAAAGTAAGATACTTTCTGTAATGAAACCAGCTGGTGTTCATTCCTATTGGTAACATATATATTATGTAAGCTTCTGTTTAGTCAAGTAGGATACTGATGATATTCAAAGAACTACTTTGTTTAAGAAATTTTTAAGAAGTTTCTTTCCATTTAAAATTGTATCAAATTATTTATCTGATTTCTATTTAGGCAGGCTAGATAAAGTTATCCTTGACCGAATCATCAAGATTCCCAAATATTCTGAGATCGCACCAATACACATTCCTTTTGAGGTGCAGAAAGAGACCTCAACTAAGTTGGTGATATACCTGAAAAATCTCTGCACATAATGGCTCTGTTTCTGTGCAAAGAGTCTTTCAAGGGACTCTAAAAAGGTCAGTTACTGCCCCAAGCCCACAGTTTCCTTATCATTTCCCATAAAAGCGAGGTCTGATTAACAAAGGCATCAACAATGTACTAGCACTGTTGTAAAGACAGTATCATGACTAGAAGCAAGTCACCTCGTAAAAAATAAATAAATAAATAAATAAGAGGTGTGAAACTGAGCAGACAAGTTGCTATGCAACCAGTGAAACAGTTGAAGACTCAACTAATAGCATGGATGTAAGAGCAAGAATAAAAAGGTGTTATAGGTCAGGAATTTTAAAGCATAGACTTTATTTCTCAAAGTGAAGTGAGTATGAAATCTGGAGACTATACTTTAACTCAGTCTTTTCTATTCATTTGATACGAAACATACGTGTAGACTTGTATTCTTTAGTATCATCTCCTTTGCATCACACTACTCATTTGTGCTCTTTAGAAGCTCAAGATTTTCAAGCAATGATTTGCTTAGCCTCCTACCTACTCCATTCTGTATGTATGCTGGAATAGAGCAAGTTTCTGTTTTGAGTAGTACAGTGCAGGCAGTAATAAAATTTCTATGAACCAGAAGCCTCCCATGACCTTCACATGATTCCAGGCAGCAGCAAAGGAACCCAAAAAGGTTGGACAGGCCTTTCTATCTTATTAAACAAGATTAATTGCAAGGAGCTACACTGGTTTATGTATCATAAAATACACCAATTCTTGTTTTCTGCGTGGTATATGATGTAACAAAAGCTAGAAAATTAGTGCATTGAGCAGTGGCACACAACCAAGGAAATAAGTCCATATCAGATTAACATTTTGAAGTAATTACCAATTATACTGCATTCTCATTTTATACAAGCATTTTGTAACACATTCCACAGCTTTTAAAAACTAATTTCATCTGCTTGATGAAGTCTACAGCTAGATAAACTACAGCTTTTTGTCCTAAGATAGTCATTACAAGGCTGTCAACGATGCTTTGCATGTTAGGTTGCATTAAAAAGAAATCCTGTTGGTTTTCAGTGTCTTAAAAAATGACACTGAATTTCTGCAAATTTACTAACTTGTCCACATTTCTATCTATACTGACTACAAGTTTACCTGTACGATTGGCAGGCCTTGCAGACTGGGAATCGGGAGAAGTCAAGCTTTGTCTCCTTCCAACTTCATCTGAAGGAGATGTTGGTAAAGAAGATACTGGAGGAGTCTGAGCACGTCGTGCTGGAAGTACAGTTGTAGTAGGGTAACTGGAGAACATTTGCCTTTAAAAATGAACCACGTACATTTATGTTAAAAAGAGTCATGCTGAAAAAGGTCTGACACAAGAAAAACATCAAATTAGAGTGCCCTTGGCAAGTCATACTTTATAGCATTTGAGTTTCGTAAGGGTAAGTGCTATTTAGACATTGGGGCGGGCACAAAAACTCTGTCAGAAAAGCTTGTTCCTACTACCTTTGCCTGGAAAGTTAAATTGTAAGTATGCACCTTAAAAAACCCCTCACAGACCAAGAGCTGTCCTATGAGATAAGAGAGAAGTAAACACTCTTCCCATTTCCCCACTTTGTTCAGAACTCAGTCTGTCTAATAAATCAGGTGAGTATTTTAATTTCACTGTTCTGGTAATAGGACATAGTTCTGGCTTTTGTCAAATTACATCTGCAAAACCTCTAAGAACAGAGGACAGATACATCAACAGAATTAATAAATTTAGAATAGGACTCTGTCTATAGCAGATTTCCTTCTACATCACAAATAGCCTCTGCAGATTAACTACCTTTATCTTACTTCCATTTCAGTATATGAGGGTAGGATGAAGCAAGGTGTGAGCTTGTAAGATGTTACCTACAAACTAAGATCTAATCTAGTTTGAGAATAAACAACTGTTCATTAAAAACACAGAGTTTCAGAGATTTTAATTTAAACTATACCAAATAAAAACAAGAACTGAAGGACAATAAAAGGAAGGTATTATCTCCCATCTTGAAGAATTCAGATGTTACATACATATATATAAATATACACACACACACACACACACACACACACACACAGAGTATATATTAAAAGCCTAACAGCTTTTATTTCTAGTCACATGTCCTGCAAGGCAAAGTAACAAATTAAACTCTGTCTTCTGCAGAGGCAGTTCTTGACAGTAAATACAAACATGAACATTTTCAAAGGCTTAGACAGCTAAAGACTGTATGCAATAGATTGCATATAAACCACACAACCAGTTCTCTACACCCACAAAATCATTGTATGCTGAAAATAAAGACATGTTACCTAAGAAGACTGAGAGGCATAACACCAGGTGATTCTGAAGCTGGAACTGTTTCAGTATCAGTTACTGGCGTAGTAGCAGTGGTAGTATCCTCCAGAGAGCTGCTCATGAAAGATGTTGTGCTAGAAGCCGAAGGGCTGGTTGTAACTGGTGTTTGGGCTTGCTGAGACTGATCACCTTCTTCTGCTTGTTGATCTACTTCTACAACAGAAAAAAAGACATTACAGGGACATTAATATAATTGTGTAGAGCAAAATAGTAGCTGTGGCTAAGCTTTCAAAAATAATTATCATTATTTAAAATTCCTCCCAAATAAAGGGTTGTGCACAAATGCACACCATACAAATACTTCTGCCCAAAACTCATGGACTTATGTAATGAAATCATGAAATCAGTCTACTGGGTCTTACCATGGTCATACTGATACAAGGTAAACAGTAAACAAGTCTTAACAGCTGACAACAGAAGCCATTTACTTGGTTAGATTTTATGATATTTAGATTTATGACTGTAACATCTAGGATTCTTTTCTTAGGCAAAAGGCAAAAAAAAAAAAAAAGGCAAAAAAAGTCTCAGATCGGGAAATCAAGCTGATTTAACTATAAAGCTATTTTTAACTCAGCTGTGTAAGTAACAAATTTTTGAAGGATTTTTTTGGTTGGTTTAGAAGTCCTTAAGACAGCAAAGAACCAGACAGCACAGTAATCGGCTTTAATATTTTAGATATTTTTTTCTTCATTTAAACAGATTTAAATGGTTTCCCTGAAGATGCAGATTGCAATACATGTATTTTTAAGAAGAAAAGGAAATATACACATTTTCTCTTCAGCTTCTGTTAGTGCGATGCCAAATATCTCAGGAAAAGCCTCAGAAAACAAAACCCCAAAACCCCACAACTCATTTAGAGATTTTCACAGACAGAAACACAGGTTACTTACACCCTGAACATCCACATGCTCAACATCATCACCTCTTTACTTGACTGCATACAATCACATTTAACAACAGTGAACTTTATGCTATTTATGCCACATGAAAATCCTTCTGACAAGTATATACAGAACTGCTTACTTTTAAAAAGTATTAAAGACAAATTAGAAACCCTTATATTTCTGATACGCATTCACTTTTTACTAAAATAAGAAATTAGGGGAAAAGTAAAAACAGAAATCAGTACTGTATCTACGAAACAGTAAAACATCTTTGCAAAATTCCTCTTTCCAATTGAGATTCCTCCAAAGTATAACCACTACAAAATTACAACATTGTTATTTGTATTATCATTGTTACTATTAATTTTAATAGAAATTAAAAAAATATCTTAGCGCTATAATATACTTCCATAATTTTGAAAATGTACCTTGTTTAAGTCTGCCACCAAACTGATCCTCCAGCAGCCCATGAACCACTAATTTGTAGATCATGGCTTGTGCTCGTTCCAAATCTGCCAGTCCTAGTGCTCTTTTAATTGGTGAACGCATGACTGCCCGTTTCACCATGTGTCGCATCAGGAACTGCAAGGCAGCACGCATTTCAACATCTTCATGAACAACTGGAGAACTAGCACAATCAGAGTTGTGACCGTTTTCTGCCAGGACTTTTGGTATTAACAGTAGTTCAGCATATTTACTACAACTAAGAAGAACACTAAGTGACTTCATAGCACCAAGATAAAGGTAAGATAGCTGTACTGCTCTGATTTCCGACTGCACTATATCATGATTTCTTGGAGTATGTTCATGGTTCTTTTTTCTTCCTTCAGCAGGTTGGTGTTGGGATTCCATACCTAGTGTTGATGGTTCTAAAGGAAAGGAAGCAATTTCATTCTCCGACTTAGAGCTTGTAGCGCTATGTCCTTTGTTATCATCAGCACTTTGTCCTAATCGTATATCTGATCCAACATCACCCTCCATTCTCTGGTCCATTTCCCCTTTATCTTCAGATTCATGCCTGTGTTTTTTCTCGTGCCTCTTGGTGCTTTGCTTTCCCACATCTTCATGAATACCAGTCAGATAGGTAAGGTCCAGCAACACAGTAGCTGTCAGCCCACGAAATCTTGCAACATCAAAAGGCAGTGGTTCACAGGGCTCCAGATTATACAATGGAGTATCACTAGGCGACCAAAAAGTTGGGAAGCTTTAATAAAGATCAGAATGACACAGGAAAAAGCAAGTGAGGGAGAGACAGGAGGAAAGTACAGGAAATAATGCAGGCAAAGTAAGATGTAAAATATATTTAATAAAATAAACAAACCGATTCTAAAAATTAAATGCAAACAGGGGAAAATGAGATTATGATCAGAAAATGGGGAGATATGGTATCAGAGCAAAGGCAACAAAGCATGCACAGGTTTTGAACAACAAGCATTAAAACCCAGAAGCATCAGAGAAGGTCTCATTCTGGCTGATAGAGGTTTCTGCTATATTATTCAGAAATATGTAACAGACTTCTACTAAGCAAAATTTTATCATCATACCTGAGCTGTATTTGTGAATAGGTATAAAACCTTAGAAAGAAAACACTCTTAAACTCTTTTCACATAAGGAAAAGCTGTGACTGACCTCACATTCCTGTTCAACTATTCATCACAAGGAGCACACTACTAGTATCTTATGATAATTCTGTCTCTGGTTATGTCAGGACAGATTCTAGGTAATCTGGAGAGGACAGTGACTTTTTAAAAACACAGGTTAGAAAACACAAAAGACACACATAATACATGTCTATCTGTCCATCTATACTCAGTGGTAATTTTTGGTAATATTTAGGACTGTTACACTTGACTAATTTTCACTCTAAGGAGGACAAAAATTCACGAGCCTATATTTCCATAACTCTTGTATTTTCCATACATCCAGCAGACTTTTAAATCTTCCTTTTATTATTCCAAAATGTTTTCTCATCTTACAATATAAACTTCTACCTAAAAATGAAAGCAAGCTTTAGTCTGATTTTAATTAAGAAGGAACATTCTGAATTTAATTCAATGCATTACCAAGAGTCTGCCTATGTTCAAGTGCTGTACCATGTCACTTAAATAATATTTTAAATTATTTTAAGGGCACACTTACTTTAAGGCTATAATGTCACATGGGCATACTTGAAAGAATGTACATCTGGAACTAGATCCGACAATCAATTGCACTTCAGTATATTTAGTTAAAGTGACAACAGCCTTTATGCATAAAAACAAAATAGGTCTAATGGTGCAGCAGCTCTAAGAGGTGAACTGACCTTGGTTGTTTCAGAATGTATTTATAACTGGGAGCAAAAAAAAATAATTACTGCTCAGTTTCTCCAGAAGATTATGGTTCAACTATAGCCAGAAAGAGTTTAAGAAATTGAGAGCATCAAATCTTTTCCACACAGGAACACAGGCAATTCCTGCAAGAGCACCAGAGAGCCCAGAGAAGCCACTAGCTTAATTTCAGAGTTTCCTTCCACATCTGCCAGACAGGTGGAAAAAGGAGTATCTGTTTCCAGCCATCTCCCCAATTCTCCCCCATCTGCAGAACAACTCCGGAGTGTTAGCTTTTAATGCAAGTGCATTCCTTTAGCTCTCTAAGGTAGGTCAGAGAATGAACAAACACTACTTCAAGGCAGCATTATAATTAATTACCACAAACCAACCCACCATTAAGAAGAGATAATCCTCCCATCTCCTGACCTTAACCACTCCTCAACCACAGAGAGCAATTTCCAGTCCTCTTAGAAGGGAATGACATTGCAGCAAAGACACCTGTTCTCAACTCTGATAAACCGAATCAGGCGTCTCTTCAGAACCAGGGTCACCACTTACAACAAAATTAAGCACTAACTTACAGTAAAAATCTGTGTTCTTTACAGACACAGCCAAGAAGCTGTAGTAAATTAAGACAGCAATAGTGTTCTAGTTAGCCAATACACACCAATTCTAAAATAAGCAATGCTCAAATCAAATCCAGGAAAACTGGCAAGCTGGTCACATCCCAACTCTGAAACCTAGATGCCAAATCTAAGAAGTCTGATGAAGCTCATCAATTCAAAACTATCAAGTTTATTTTCAACATGCAAGGTATTTTATTACTAGATAGCATTAAAAATTAACTCATATTTGTTTGATTTAAAAAGTCAAATTTGAAGTCTAAGCTTAAAATAATTGATCAGCATGACTCTGATGTAAAATGCATGTTACTTCTGAAAATTTCCAAGTACAAAACACCACTAGATTGTGAAAAGTGTAAGAAATGAGCATACCTGATAGTAATCTCTGCTTCATCCCATTGCACCTTGGCAGATGTACTGCCTTCCTTCACTACTCCAAGCAAGGTGGCATGACGTCCAGTTTGCTTGTGTACACATCGACCTCCAACTCTAAGACCAGCGTCAACTCCACCAATTACTGCGAGAACAGGCCACACTTCCACACAGAGCATCTTCAACTGCAGTTCTGAAAGGTCAGCCAGACCATGCCTACTGTGTTTGCTTTTCTCCTCCTCTTTATTTTCTTTCTCTTCTCTCACCTCATTCTCTTCTCGACTTTGAATTGAGCGACTTTTCTTCAGCTTTTGGCCTGCTTCTTTAAGACATGTTTTGATTTTATTCAGTCTTTCCATCATTTTTTTATTGATGCAGTGCGTCCAACGGTCTGTGCGATGAAGGATACGAATGAGTTGGATAGTGGCTTCTGCCAGAACTGCCGCAACAGGACTACAGATGGGGTCACCAGGCAGCAAATCTCTTGGTGTACCACGCATTTGCATATCACAGATTTTCACCTAAGTGTTCAAAAAGAATAGTTTAAAATTTATCTTCTCAATATAACTGAAGAAGCTCTTTTTATAAACACAGGAGTCTCCTGCCGAATAGAAAAAACTATTAGAATTGTCTTTTTTTGCTTCAGCTCCCTAGGAAATCCACCTTAACACCTGCAGCCCTTCAAACTCAAGGATGCTGAAATCATAACAGTTATGGTTTCTCACTTAAGACTATCTGGAATTCCCAATACTACATTCTTCCTGGTTTCTGAGGAATGCAATTTTGTGTGTAGAACATTACATCTGTAAATCAATTCTAAATAATAAAATACATTTAAAATTTACAACAGATTGCACAATATAGGAATTTATGAAAAGTCTAGCTAGCGTGCAAGTAATATAGTGCTACGTATGTCATAAACCAAAAATGAATAATCAATTATTTTCTCAGCACTTGTTAGCTACCAGCCACATCCCGCCCAAAAACCAACCTCCATAACATTGACACAGAGGAGAACAGACAGGAAAGGATAAGCTTTATGACCTATTGTTGAGGTCTAATCCCAGTAAGGCAGCTAAGCCTCACACAGCCACTCGATCACTCCCCCCCACAGGATGGGGAAGAGAAATCAGAAGGACAAAAGATAAAAGCAAGTTTCATAAATAAAAGTGGGGAAAAAAAGCCAAAATAAAACAAAGAAAAACAAGTGATGCAAAATGCAATCACTCACCACCAGCTGACTGATGCCCATATAGTCCCTGAGCAACAGAAACCCCTGGCAAACCGAGAATGCCTTGATGCTGTGTAAACACTGCTCAGCAATCTCAACGCTGTTTTGGTCATAAATCCAGAACATAGCACCGTATAGGCTGTTATAAAGAACACTGACTTTATCCCAACCAAAACCACTACATCTATGCAGATGAACGTTTAAGTTACCTTTTCTCCTGGATTACTGCTATAGAACATAACACAAGGGTATAACTCTGCTGCATCCACATCTTCAAAAGCTAGTTTTGGCTCCTAGTTAAAAAATAAAACAAAAATCCCTAATTTAGAACAACCAAAAATACGATAAATATGGCAGTTATTCCTATATTATAATCCTTGTAAGTACTGAAACTGCCACATGTCTCAACTGTCATGCTTAGCTTTCTATAAAACACCCATGCTAAACCACTGATGCAAAGAACACCAAAAAACCAACTAATGTTAAATACCTCTCCATTTTTACCAAAGGAAATAGTTCTTGCTTCCATATCTAATACGCATGTGATGAAATCTCCTTGGGTAAAGCTGGACAGAGTCAAAGTTTGTTCTCCATTGTGATAAAGGTTACCACTGTAGGCTCTATACAGCCACATATCTGAGGTAGTGCGATGGTTAAAATCATGTACTGGCCAACGAGAAACTCCTACACATGTGCCTTCATTGCCTCGATTCTCCTTCACAATGTAGAACTAGCAGGCAAAACAAAACAAAAAAAACAGGGGAAAAAGTCAAGAATATACATTTTAACAGAATAAAGCAACGAAAACTTACACTGCACATATTTATGCATACTTTTAAATGTTTTACGCTTTTAATAAAAAATAATAAACTAATCATGCCCTACCTCTAAAATGACATCTTGGTGTATAAGTTCAGCCATTAACAAGGCATTTAAACTTAAGCTACTAGTAATTAAGAAAACTGTATCTAAATACACAAAGAAGTTGAGTATTTTTTCCCCTCCAGACTCAAAACCCAGAAGCTAGGTTAAAAGTGCTAAAAATAATATTACAGAAATAAATAAGCTTTCCTTCTCATGTTCACAGTGAGTGATTTACAGAGATTCAAGTTAAAAAAAGGAGTAAAAGTGTTATGCTCAAAGATGGTGTGATTGTTTCAGTTGCCTAGCCCTTGGCCAGCAGCCAACAGAGCTGTTCACCCACCTTCCCCCCACCCCCAGGGGATACAGGAGAGGACTGGGGGAAAGGATTAGGAAGCTTGCAGGTTGAAATAAGAACAGTTTAATACAGAAAAAAACTTAGGCCCCCCCCCCCCCCGATAGTAAAATAGTAGTGATAACAATAACAGTAAAAATACACAGATGAGTGATAACCCAGTGCGACTGCTCACCACCTGCTGACCAAGCCCGGCCCGTTCCCAGATAACAATTCTGGAGGAGCAACAATCCTGAACCGAAACAGCAATCCCAGAAGAGTGAGAGCCCAAGTGAAAGCCAGAGAGAATCCCACCCCTCCCCAGCCCTTTCCGGTCAGCCCCAGATAATACACTAAACATGCCGGGATATGATATGATACGGAATATTTCACTGACACATCCAAATGCCAGTTTTGGGCTTTGCAATTCACTGCGCTTCTCCCTCCCAGTCCTAATGCAGCTGTGAACCAGACAAACACGGTGGCCTTGAGCTCCAGCAGCAGCTAATAACATTAGTACTTTTATCAATTATGTTCTCATAACAAGTCTGACCTGAAACCAAAACACAGCTCTTCTAACTGCTGAGAAGAAAATTAACTCTATCCTAGCAAAACCAGGACAGTATCCACCCCTTATTCCATACCATTCACATCATGCTCAGGTTTCTATATTGGTACTAAGAAGGAATACAACTGTGTACGTATCTGTATTTCTAAAAAAAATCATTCCAGATGATGTATGGATGCTGGCCTTGTCAGTCAGACAGGCTCATGTGTCTTTTTGCAAGGAAACAAAATGTTTTGTGAAGTGTTTTTCGAAAGAAAAAACTCAAAATCTACATAGTCTAGTAGGTAACTTTTGTAAGACAATGCACATTTGTGCTGACTATGGATCTTAGGGACAAGTACCACCACCACTACAAATAACACATTCACAGTCTCCAATCTGTGTACTGAAATACCCAAATGGCAGTGCTCAAAAGCATATACAAACTCTTCACTTTGGATTGAGAATCACAGAATCATTTAAGTTGGAAAAGACCCTTAAGGTCATTGAGTCTGACTGTAAAACTAATGCTGCCCAAATATCATTTACTTGAGACTGCTGTCATAAGGGAAAAATCATAGGTAGCTGTTGTTTATATAGTTATATAGTATATTTCCAAAACAAAGTAAGAGAAGTTAAGAAATACACTTTTATGCAACCGACCTTCCACTGATAACACCCAGAAGTAACTCCAGTGGATGCTAAACCATATCCTTTGCCTCCACTTCCATGAGTTAGAATCTGTCCATTCTCCACTATGCAGCATTGAGCTTTCTCGGGGTCAAAGGACACTTCCTGTATGGGAAGATTCTCATCTTCATCTTCAGACTCTCCTTGCTTCTATCAGATGCAGGACAAAATACTTTTAGTAAATATAATTTCATTGCATTCAGTCAAAAGAGTAAGCAAAAGCATAATTACCTGTAGCTTCATTTCTTGTTCTTTCTCCTTTACTTGAATTGCATGTTTAGCCTGAGCTATTGGAGTCTCCCACATGCAGTCAGACAGAAGTGAGAATAATCGTTCAACAACCTGGTGTATTAGAATATAATTGGGATCATTCCAAATCCAAGATGAGGACAACAAATAATATTATATCGTTTTACTTTGCTTTGTAGGTATAAGTATCAAAATATTTAGTGTTAGATAAGCAAATATCTACACTGAGCCTCACCTGACTTCGATTCTGAATAAACCTATGAAATGTTTAAAAGTTTAATGAGACTTTTTGAACGAGCAGGTGTAAAAGCTTGTAACAAAATATAAAGACCTGAGCCATTTGATCATCTTCAACGCCAGATTCACAAGCAGGTAATACAGCTTCTAGGACATGAAGTGCAAGAAGTCTAGTCCTCAAATTGCCAACCAAGGGAACTCCTAAAGACAGAACAATATGTTAATAATCTGAAAGTGACTTCTGCATCAGGCATGCACCTATGATGCCAGCTGCATGCCACCACTGCACTATTTTCCTACGTGTAACTTGTGTACATCTAGTGACGTTAGTTTTAGTTGTTCACTATGTCACATACATTCTAAGAGGACCTATTTTTAGGAACTGCACTACAGAAATGCAAGTAACCATTGAGTACATTTTGAAAAGATCATACCTGAGCAACACTTCTGAGAAGCAATGTTAAGAAGTACTTCTGTCCACTTTGGAGATGCCATTTTTGACTGAATTGCTTTTGAAGACACAACTCTACGTAGGAAAACAAGAAAGTCTCCCAAGTGCAATTCTGCTGCATGTTGCTTTCGGAGGGCAGCTAAGAAGATAAATTTAAAAGTTTTCCTTTACAATCTTACTTCTACAGTATCTACAAATAACAATTTTTAAAGTCAAGGTCAAAGTAGAAAAAAAAAAAAAAAAAATTAAGGCAGACATTCACGGTCGAGTCCAGAACAGAATGCAGCCAGTTGATATGGCACATTATATGGACTAGCATGCACTTGGAAGAACACAACTACTCGAATAACACACAATGCCTTATGGACCACAGGTACTTAGGCATGCCAAGATTTATAAACAACTGTATAGAAAGTTACTGTATACATCTATGCTTTTGTTTTATGGGGATTTTTGATGCAAAACACTATACTTACCAACACCTTTGATTCGTATTCCAAGGTAGTTTTACCAAGAAAATGTTTGTGGAAACAGAAGACCTTCTATCCTCATTTCTAATTAATTATCTTATGAATTCATCAGCCATTGTATTATTTATAAGCAAAGACAGTTAAAAGCACAACCAAAATACAGTAGAGTGGGTGAGGGCCTCAGCATTCAGTGGTTTCTGGTATTTCAAATTTGTAACAGAAATGATGCAAGATAATTACCTCTGAAGTCTCTCTTCTCATTATCCCCACTTGAATCAGTCTTTTTTGATTCTACTTCATCTTCCTCACCTTCTCCTTCTCCAAAGGAAGCCATAAGCATCACGCCAGCTTGGGATAACAAGTTCTTCAGCTGACTGCATAATAAATCCAGCAAAGACTGAACCACCTTTGGGCTCAGTTTGTCAGCATATGTTCTGTACACACACACATACACAAAAGTAAATATAAGAGTATTTGAGAGCTGATCCAAGGAACAATAACATAAAGACACAACTATAAACTCAGTGCAAGTGACAACTAGGCCTAATTCTAATTCATTCTATTGCAGCAGGTTACTTTTCCTCATCCTCCACCACATGCTTGGCAGATTATTCTTCTTTGAATCCTACTTTTAAGATACTTTAAAACTTCAATCTTTAGATACATTTCCAGTACTTACTAGGGGAAAAAGAACAACTTAGTCAATTAAACATAATCCCACTGCAACTTCCAAAGATGGGGTGCCGTTTTTGTGGGTTGGCTTTTTGGGGTTTTGGTGGGTTTTTTTTGGTGTGGGGTTATTGGTGTTTTTTACATAATGGATTTGGCAGGTAAATGCCATGTGTTATATGAATGCTGAAACGAAGGTGTATGTACTGAATATTAAATAATACTCTTGCTCTGAATAGGAAATATTTTCTCCATTGCTTTTTTTCTTTATTCAGTAAAACTAGGTATTTAAGCATTGACAGGATTTTGGATGCTGTTCCCTGGTCTAGCAGAGGCCAGCATTCCCCAGAAAATTACTTCATGTTCTGAAAAAAAAGCACAATGTACTGCTCTGAAGAAGCCCTACCACATTATTGGTATCGGTTTTACACAAGTGACTTTTGGACAACAGAAAGCCTCATCATAACAACTTGAACAGATCGAGATACAAAGTCAAACTAGGAAAATGGGGAATACTAGCATACAATGTTTATAGATCATAAAGCTCTGACTATTCTGATCCAAAATCCTCACTTACAATTTAAAAATATTTATCAGTCTTATGTGCATCTTTCTTATGAATAACGTGACTACTCTTTTTTTCTCCTCTCCACTATATGCTTCTGAACAGCATTTATTGTCCTAAAGAAAGCTCACATAAAAGAAGTTATTTTTAAAGGATGTTGAAAAGCTTATCAATTAAGTTTTCTGAAGCAAGGGAGCATTCCATACTTACCCTGTGGTGATAGCAAGGATCTGAAGTAATCTTGTACTGGCTACTTTCAAAGCTGTGCTGAGCTGAGAAATACCAGTTTTGGGCAGCAACTGCAGTGGTTGTCCTAACATGGTGTCTGTGCCACACAACTGCGATAGCACATTTAGCAGACCAGTGGAAATAGCCAAGGAGACATCAACAGGCTGATAGTGTACACTTAGAGCAAAGACTGTTACCAACAGAAGACGCTGTTGTGCTTCTAAGATTAAAATAAAGTTGTTTTTAATTAATAAACTGCTGAGAGTAAGAATACTAAGACAGAAGAACAGTAGATTTTAAAAATAAAATTTAATAAATTAAATTATCAAGTAAAGAGTTAGTCGTCTTTGTCAGACACTCTGAGGTAGTCTTTCTGATGTACTATCACAGCCCACTTTAACTCAATGCAACCTCTATGTCAAGGTCGTCCAAAGGAACAACAAACCAATTCAGGTAAGAGTGCCCATTAGGATCTACCAACAAACTAAATTATATAACTCTCTTCTGTACTGAAGCTCTCGGTCAGTGTATGTACAAAGGCACAAAGAGGTGCAGAGTTCCAGCTATCCCTTAAGGACAGAAGCACACAGCAATATCTGGGTATAGAAGGTCAGGTGAAAAGGCTTCCAAAACAGGCAAGATGCCATGTTCTTCAGTTTTGGGTTTAAAGAAAGTTCACTTGAGCAAAAGAAAAAAAGACTGGAGACTTTTCGTCTCTTCAGAAAACTGCTTATCCCTGAAAAATCTAAAAACCACTTTGAAGCGCCAAAGACATCAGTGGCTGTGGAAGATTATGGTATGTGGAATAGAAAGGTTAACAATACTTCAAAGTCTTAAAATAAAAAGGGCTAACATTTGAAGAAAATTAAGACAGAAAAAGGTTAAAAAGGTTCTCTTTCTTAGGAAAAGAAGGAAGACAGATACTTCATTGAATTCTGGTCACTAATGTTAAAGTCTTTGTTAAACATATAAGCTGTTGTACTGTATGTTAGAGGACATATTTTGCAAATCTAGTTTCACTTACCTATATGATGCTTATTAGCTTGCAGAGCTCTTTCTAACGTAGCAGATAATTGCTGGTAAATTTTGTGCACAGCCACCTGGATTTCAATTTGAATACTTCTCTTAGCTGCTCTGATACCATCCTGGGTCGAACAAATAAATATTATAAGGACTGATACATTTTATCACCTGGTTATTGAAACAGCAGAAAGTATGGAAGTACATACCTGGTAGTGATGCAATCTTGCATTCTCTCCTTTGGCACCTGCATGTCCTACAGTGCCCAAACCAAAGCAGCCAGCAAGAAACTGTAGTCTAACAGAAGTAAGTAATGAAGAAGACTGAAATCCTGGTACTTGACGACTTCCCATTAATGGCACACTGCCTTTTTCCTCCATCCCTGACAGAAGCACTAAAATCTGATGAAGTGCTTCCAGACGAAGCTAAAAATAAAGGCAGGCAAAAGACAGTATTAAGTAAGTAGGAAGTATCCTTAGAAATTAGGTAATCTTCAACTGTAAGCAAGAATGAATGAGGCAGACATTCTCATCAACACTTTTTTTTTTTTTTTTTAAAAAAAGGGAATT